CAGGAACTTACAGACACACGCCGACACAAACACACACTTAAAAACACTTACACGCAAACATATACACACACGCGTGCAAGCGCACACACTTACGGGCACGTACACAAACGTGCTTACGGTCACACAAACATACACACACAAACGCATACAAACAAACATACATACACATACACACACAAACATACATAAACTAACAAATACACACACACAAAACTTACGAACACAAACACAAACACGCTCACCGGCACACATACACATACGTGCATACATTATACATTCATACATGCGTACCTACATACGCTCGTACATACATACATAAATACCCACATACATACATACATGTACACAGACGCACACACATACACACACATACATACCGGCTCGCCATTTTACTTATTTTAATTTATAAAAAAACATATGAAAAATGTTTGAAGTTAAGCAACTAAATATCTTCTTAGACGATAAGATGCGGGTAAATATTGAAACTGGAACAAAAGAACAATAGAAGGTAAGAAAAAAAATCAGCATAAAACATGTTTTGCCACCAATAGACGCTTGCAAGCGCGTTTGGATCTCCCGCAAATACATGCAGTATTGTAGGTGAAAAAAAGTAAGTTGAAATTACCGAAATTCATCATTGATTCACACGCTAAATAAACAAGTTCTCACAGGCTGCCCATAAATCACTTTATCGCACATACTCTTCATATTACATAATGTACAGAGATTGGATCAAAATTTTCTAAACAATCCACTCTCTCTCTCTTTTTTCGCAGAATCCAAGAATTCTCTCATATTTCTATGCAAATTTCGACAATATTCCAACCAATGGCTTAAATTTTTTTCCTCAATCAGCTAACACAGAAAGTGTTCCAAGTTTTTTCTGCCGTGCACAAATCGCAAAGTGCAGAATAATTTTCCTATGTTGTTCCAATCGTGTGATAAATTTTTAGCGGAAGACAAAATTCCACGAGTGACAAGAAAAGCTAAAAAGCGGAAACTTTAGTGCCTACTACTGAATGCGTTTGGAAAAATACGTGCCGAATTCTTTTTCGCACCGCAACAGTTAATTAGCATTTCAAAGCGATCAGCTGTGATTGATAAGTTTTTGCACCGAACAAAACAACCAACCAAAACTGCACTTTGAGAATGTCATTTTCTTAGCAGTGAGATGCGAGCCTTCAAAGAAAACCCCTCACAGGAACGAGCAGGAAGAAAAACTCTGAAATAAATTCACACATCTCTGAACAAGTAATCACACAACCCCAACTTGAACAGACAAAACTAATGTCAGAATCACCTGCGAGCTGACCATCATGCGATGCATACTGGTCTAAGCAGTAGGAAAGGTTGTCAGCTGCGCAGCAGGAGAATACATTGTGAATTATAGCCTTTCCAAGTATTTTAAATATTCAAATGTATGAAAGAATAAATTTATAGTGTTTTAGTTAAGTGAATAGTTCATATAATTTCGAAGTGATTCCTTATGGGTCACTTCAGCGCTTCTAATAATTTTTTTAGGTAAAAAAGTGGTAAAATGATTTTAGAAATTTGACTGATAAAAAAAAGAAGTGCTGAAATAAATGTTATTACGATTTTGGCTCTTTTATTCACCTTAACCTTCTAAAACGTCATTTCACTGACAGTCTTTTTATTTTCCTCTTCTTCCAAATCAACTCCTTCCCTTCCGCACTTCACCTAAATTCCATTAACCTCTGCTTATCATCTCTTTATATCTACAGTAATTGTACAGTCCCTTGTTCAACTACCATTCTTAATTTCGCGAAAATCAGTACCAATGTGGTACTCATGTCTAAACATGAAGTTTTCCACGCAATCTGCGTCAAGACTTTTGATGTGCATAAAAAAATGAAGTGAAACAGCTAACATGAACATCCGGCATTTCGCATCGCTGATCGTCCAACCGTTGACTTTGCATTCGTTCCAAGAACGCCAAAAAATCGTTCGTCTAAAAAAATAACTATTTATCAAATTAAAGTGATTGATAAAATCAAACTACTGCTCCTTGCCTGTCCTATTAATTTTTTGTGAGATGCGGAGGGACTCGGAAGTGTTTCGAGGTAGAAGTGCCAAAGCAACTACTCACTGGTTACGCTGGCGATGATTCCGTCATTCAAAGCTTGCTTGTAAATAAAGTGATAAGGGATCTGACACCCTGACATATGCCAGTACCAATTTACCATCGAAACGAAAGAACGAATCGTAGAGAGATTGATGTTCTATTGGCTGGGCCAGAACATTCAGCTTCTGCCCAAAGTGAGGTAATACTTCGTACCCAAATAGTCCACCTATTACACAGAGCCTAACAGAGGCTTCCAATGCAAATATCCTAAAACAGCACTGAACAGCATTTCCATTTGAGGTACTTAAGGTAGGAAAGAAGGGTAGAGTAGAAAGAATGCTTTTCAAGGCGATTGCCAGTCGAACTATTAGAAAGCACGGAGCTACAGTTTGCTTGGATACTCTTCCGTTCCTAGCAACCTCAATCCCCTTCCCCTCCCTTTCTAATTATTACTGCGTTGGTCACAATTCTCGAGAAAAATAGTACCGTTAAATCAAGGTTGCTATGGAAATCAACATGGGATCGTCGATTTCCGGCACTGCCACTCATAAATAGACTATTATTACTGCTGGAACTGCTGCCTTCCTTGTGCAGAGCCACTGATGATGACGATGAGGAAGCATCTTTGTCGAACATTAGCGTTTCACAATTCACCGAATTGCGCCTGCAAATCATTATCATCAT